GATCACTTAAAAAGGTTCAGATCTACTAATATTATAAAAGATTGAGTTACGCTTGATGGTAATGACTTCTGCGGTAAGTTGCCACAAACTTTGAAGGATGGTTTCGAGGAAAATGAGGCGAAAAAGTTAATCCTGATTCTCTATTAGTCTGCAATGCGGTTGGTCCTAAACTAGAAATTAGAAGATTAGCACTCTTTTTAGAACAAGTTTTTTCGTACAATCTTCAATGATGAAATTAACCGACAAACAGTGCTTGAAACTGCTTGTAGAAGTTGCTCATTTTACAGTGGTGCATAACAAATGACTTATATTTCCACGAGTTTAAAAATTCAAATAAACTTTATTAGATCATTTAACTTAACAGTTTTCTACCATAAATTGAGGCAATTTGAATTCATGGGTGGTTTCATTCCATCGTAATTTTGTAACCAACTGTATAATGGTGACTTCAAGCTGCTATAGGGGATAGACTCCTAGTCCTTTATAATGATAGCTCAGTTTTTTTTACCACAGTGCCATTGCGTCTACTAGGCTGATTTAAAATTGGTCATAATTCCGAATTTTATTGTTTTTCTTTGAAGCAACAATATTCAAAATTTGTCACAGAGAATCGAGAAGTAACTTAAGGATTTGGTTTAATTAATTAGGGTTACTTAAATTAGGGTTTGAAGCATTCTGTCGTGTTTTTTTAAAACGCCCTTAGAGTTCCAAATTTATTACCTTTTAGTTGGCATTAATTTCTATGCGAGTTTTTTTATTTAATAAATAATTGAAACAGTACTTTTTACCTAAATTTTTTCTTAATTTTATATTAATTTTACGTTTTCTAGTTCGAAAATTGCATAGATATTGATATTTTTTCAGAATTTAGTGTTCTATCGACCAACCTGGCAAGCTTGCTTGACAAATTGGTCATCAAATCATTAAATTACGTAAAATAGTTATTTATAGGTCTTTTGAATAACATTTTTGACAATAACTATAAAAAAAAATCATGATTCAGATAACTTTTGTAAAATAAAAGCATTGCACAAACAGCCAGTTTTTAATGAGTTAGTGCCCCTAGCCGAACGATGACATTTCTGGACAAGAGTTGTTAAGCAATTCTCAATTCGTATGATGCGTCCTACCTCAACTTCAAGCTCATAACCGCTGTACTGAATCCCTCATCATGCTTCCTCTAGCCTGAATATTTGAAGTACAGCAATTATTTAAATTTGCAACTCTTATTATTATTGTTATTCACCTTATTCCTGATGGAGGTTCTCTCTATTATCAGCAGATGGGAGTACAATAAGAGGCGTTTATAACTTCCTCTTGATGATACGAATTCATTGATTTACTCGAAGACTCCTATAGTATTATGATACTCTTTTACTACTCTCTATATACTCTGTAGTATATACTCTAAATCAGGGATTCTAATTTTCACTAATCTGAGCTGCTATGATGTCATAGGAGGGCTGCAAGACTTCCGGTTTGATTTGTTTTTTTTTTAGGATACTGGGTGTATGAGAAAAATTTATTTTCCGGTAATGTGTAACTTAATTAACAACTTGATGTTTTGTAGAAAAATGTAGACGCAAGTAACAATATTTAATGTAAAGAAATTGAAATGTAAAGAAAAAAAAATCACTTTATTTGATGTATGTAAATAAATTCCAAATGTTTCAAAGATTAATATGAAGATGAAACCTGCTGCAATTTTTTAAGTTGCTTAAATCATTAACGTTTTTATTAAAATATTTGATGTTGTGGTAATTTAGGAAAGTTATTAAATTGTTGAGTGGGAATGATATAAGACACCAGGTCCAAAACTTAATTTTTCTTTCTACAAAAATTGAATTTAAAATTGATTTTCTGAATTCTTTTTTTCAGTATTTTAAAATTAAGATTACGAATCTTCAAACTTATTACTTATATTGTTTTAATCAGTGTTTTTGTTTTAATTCAAGTTGGGACAAATTAGGGAATGATATATAAGTATGTTTTAGCTACGTACAATAAATAAAAATTTAAAAATGATAATCTCATTTTTATCATATTTTAAAATATTTTTTAAAAGAATTTTTTGGTCTCTAAATATATTCAAAAGTCATAAAACAAGTATTTGTTAAAATACATTCTAAAAGATCCTTTCCACTTAAAAATATGCATGTCATAAAAAACAAATATATTTGTTAAAATACATTTTAAAAGATATTTTTCACAGCCCATTTAAAAATATGCACAAGTCATAAAAACAAATATTCGCGATAATGCATTCTAAAAAGACTTTTTACACCTCAAAAGTATGATCAAGTCATAAAATAAATATTTATTAAAATGCATTCTTAAAGACCCTTCCCACCTTAGAAAATATGCACACATCATAAAATATGCATATTTGCTAAAATACATCCTAAAAGACTATTTCCTCCCCGCAAAAATTGTAAAAGCCATAAAACAAGTATAAAGTATTGGGGACTTGAGAATGGCTCAAATACAATTTCTTTTTTTTAAACATTAGATATTTAGAATATTGTTATAACAGTTTAGTTTAAGTTGAAAAAACTTCTGTATTTTCTGCTGCTCAGGTAACAATGTATATAATTTTTTTGTCTGCAATTCTTCTTTGTCACAGTTGTAAAGAACATTTTCAACTTTCCCTTGTTGTCTTTTTGTCTCTCTGCCAAACAAAGAAGTGTTTCATGGCGTGATTTATCACCACTTTTTCGAAAAAAGCTTAAAAATATTTCGGATAAGAGCAGTAGGATAGTATTTCTAAAATTATCTCTAAACATATAAAAGAAGAAGCAAAAATTATAATTGCGTATTGTTTGGAGAAATGCAGAAAGTTATTTAATTTATTTAAAAATTAACTATATGTATTGAACAAAGAGAAAAAGAATCGTATTCCAAAATGTATGCTGTGAGTTAAAAAACATAAAGCTGGAAAACAAATGTATTATAAAGCAATTTATATATTCTCTTACTGAATTATAGAAGATATAGTTTTAATCATATAGAGGTTTGTTTAAGAAAAATAGGTTAAAATGAATATGTAAAATTTTGTAACGTGGTTTCCTCAAAAATATTTTAATTAATTCAGCAATAACAGTTTCAATTAGAAACTAGATAGTGATTTCGAAGGCCACCATTTAAAGAGTAATTTTCTCAGAGAGTTAAGTATTTTTTCTCATTTTAAAGTATGTGCATTTCAAAATAGTTAGAAATATGCAGACATTTTTTGGATTGTAAAATAGAACAGAAATATCTCCGTTAAGCCCCCACTTAAGAACAGTTTTCAAGAAGTTGCATACTTTTTCTCATTTTCCCGTAGTTTTAGGATTGGATAAGACATGTTAAAATGATATTTTGAGTTACAAAATGGGATAAACTTCGCTCCCTTGAGCAACTGTTTTGACATAGCTTTCTGAAAATGCAGTTGACTTTTTTCATTTCAAAACTTTATTTTAGAATAGAATAAGAAATACAAAGACTTTTATATTAAAAATTAAGCTATTATTGAGCTCTAAGATGGTCAAAATTTGAAAGCATATTTAGTTTATTTTTCATAAAGAGTAGAAACGTAGCATTTTCCTATACTTAAAGATTCGAGACAACACACTTAGAAGAAACTGTTGAAGATGTTTAACCTTAACAATAATATCATTGACATGCTGCTTTATATATAATGATCGTTGGTTCTAATATTATCTCTGATTATTAGCTTCATGAAAACAGGACGTAAAATTATATATGAAAATAATGATATTAATGCCGCATATGAGAAAAATATAACTGTGTAGCATGACTTATTACCAGCCATTCATTAACCTTAAGGAATCAGAATATTGTTTTGTTGGAAATAATATAAAGAAATTTTTTTTATAAAACTAAATAATTGCTTTTAAAACTATATTTGAAATTGTTTCAGTCTATAAAATTATTTTACATGCAATATAATATTCCTTAAGCGAATGCACATAGTTATCTATAACAACGGTTCCAGAAATATGTCTTACTGTATCCTAGAGTTCTGTGGAAGGGTCTTAGGGGTTCTGCGAGTTTGGACTTTTCTTTTAAAACAATAATAAGTTTAGAAGCATGTAATCATATCAACATCCAATAGGTTATCCATTATTTATTTTAAAAAATGTTTTGGTTGTTTTCTTAGAAAATATGTAATCAAAATGCCAGTGTAAAGAGAAATAGTAAACTGAAAGGAAAAAATTGATAATATATTGAATAAACTAAGAAAAGAAAGTATATTTCTAAAATATTGCTCTGTTATTTGCAATTGAGAAAAAAAATGTAACAATAACGAATTATGTTTCTCTGAAAACCATTTTGAAAGTGGTTTTTTCCTTTCAGAATAAACTAGGACCAATTGTCCATTCTAGGACAAATATTAAAAAATCTAGACATCTCAATATTGGTGCCTAGGTGCACATTCTTATAAGACCCTTATTAAATCAATTTTGATTCCAACTGGGGCTAAGGTCAAATTGTTGCTAGGGTCGAAGTTGAGGAGTAGCAGCGAAAAGGAGGTTTACCTCCCTAGTACTTAAAAATATTCAGAGAAGCTGCTCTATAATTCAAAACATTCGTGAGTGTATCAGTATCTAGTTCAAAATTTTTGCTTACGGTCTCGTAACTTCTGAAATAAACACACTATATTTGAATTCGCATTTTAGTCTCATTTAAGATAAACTAGATGGTTATAAAAAGATAAACAACAACAATAAACTACATCTATCTATCTCTGTATGGTTAACACATTATCCCCACGGTATCAAATTACATTGGCAATATTTAAATGAGACAAAGTTCTTGACCTTTTTGGCGGAAGAGCCAGAATTCAGCATCCCACTCATATGTACCTACCTGTAATTTGACCTTCGACAAGGAACTTCTAATTTATTCAATTTTTTTTTGACAGCTTCATCCAAATTGATTTCAGTCAAAAGGATGACGTCACCTTCTTGATTTGGGTCATGGAAAAGAAAGTGGACAGAGTTGTAACCACTAGGTGTCACTGTTCAGCTTTTCTTCATTTAATAGTAGTGTTTTCTCTATTGTCTAAGGAGCATATATTTCAGAACTGGTTTCAAAACACCACACGATGCAGTCTGTAACGGTTGTTTTAACTGTCTGCCTGATAGTAAGTGTTATTTGTTGTTGCCTCTTTAAATGTTTGCGATTGAGTGATTACTGAAAGTCTTTTGTCAAAATTTAATTTGCTTCTGTAGGAGCTTACTTAGGAGTTTATACAGAAGGCTTTATGTTTATGTTCTGTTGCATCTTTTTGAAATTTTTTTTAAAAGTTTTTTGTTCTTGCAGATTTTAACTTTTATTTCAAAATTTAAGGAAATTTAATCTCAATTTATTTTAATGCAAGCATTTTAATTCAATTATAAATTCTATGGGCCCCCCCCTACTGATTTCTGAAATTTTTTAGATTCAAAAGCTTGTTTACTCATAATAAGTTTTTTTTCTCAACGGATAAAAAAAATCTGGTAAAATTACCGTACTATATGGTAAAGACATTTCTGGTAAAAAAACAACAACATAAATCTGGCTAATAAAGCCAAATTATACGATATTTAAATGATATTTGTGCATTAATTATTTTTCAGTTCATATGGTAACAGTTCACCAAAAAATTCCGGTTTTTAAAATTATAGTTCTTATAGCCACACATTTAGTTTAAAATACAAAACTGAAAAGCAAATTTAACCAAATAAATGATTCTTATGCCATGTTCTAAGGTGTCCTGATAATATTGCCAAATTTTACCACATTTACAAAATTTTATCACCCATTACAAAATTATATCTTATTGTCAATTTTACCAAAATCATTACCAAAGTGATTCAGTAAGAACTACCGAGCTTTTTAATGCTCCTATAGCGCCAAAAACAGGGCATATATTTTTTATATACTGGTAGTTTTACCATACTTTTTTCTCAGTGTATCTTTTGAAAAAATTGTTACTTTTCAGGGCATTTTTAAAGGTTATCGAAAACTAGGGTCAATTTATAAATATTCTACTATAGTTTCTTCATCTTATCTGTACAAATGTTTTACAAAAATAAAAGAATGAATAGTTATTAAATTTTAATGATAAAATAGCTTGCATATTTAACAACATAATATACTTTGTTCCAGCCACAAAATTTAAGTTAAAGCTAGAGTTGGAGTGCGATTTTTTTAAGTTTTAAAGTTAATGGACAATATTTTTTTTCGGACTCAAAATTTACTAAACAGCTATTCATTTTAATAAAAAAATGTTTTGTAGTAATATTATACTATTTAGTATAATATTACTATTACTACTGCTATTCATTTTATTAAGTAGCTAATTCGTAGTAATATTAATATAATACTACTATGAAAATAAATCTAAAATATGAATTTTCTGGTAAATAATTTCTGCGAACAATAGAAGAATTATTATGATTATATACTTTATTAGATTCAATGATATTCAGATGGATATAAAAGTCGACATGTTTCAGGCGCTCAAAAATAGGCACCCATTCTCTAGATTTGCCAAACTTCTGGCAAGTGACGACTACATCCATTTCCATCGTACCGCTTCAGTTTCTTGTTTTTTTATATAATAAAAGGGTTAATTATAAAACCACGAGAGTAGAAGTGCCGTTTTATTACACGATTGATGAATCAATCTTGTAATTCGCTATTTCAGCAGGAGTTTAATGGAAAAAATGTTTAAGATTTAAAATAAAGTAATAACCAATTATTTATATTTTATTTTTAAAAAAAAAGCCTTGGTGAAACATTTATGGATAGAAAAAAATACTCAGCGACCTGAGTTTTGGCCTCTACGCATAGGTTGGAAGCGATTTAGTTAATGTTAGAGTTATGAGTTATAGGCTGGAAACGATTTAGTTAATATTAGAGTTATGAGTTATAAGTTGGAAACGATTTAGTTAATATTAGAGTAATGAGTTATAGGTTGGAAACGATTTTGTTAATATTAGAGTTATGAGTTATAGGTTGGAAACGATTTAGTTAATATTGGGCCAATTTGCTGCTCATCACATTCGTGATTGAAAAACACCAAATCCACGATTTCTCAATTTGTTTTCAAAACTAAGATTATTTTTTAATGGAACACACAATTGCATAAAACTGATGACATAATTTACAAGTCCAAGATAAGCAAATATTATTGGCTCGCACATGTGTTGAAAGTTTTTTTCTTTCTCTTTGATTACCCGTTTTCCTTTGTTATCACACTCATAAACAGCAAAAAGATTTGTTCATTTTTCTTAAGAAATAAAAAATTAGTGAGTTTAGGATTAAAAGTAATGAACCTTGTTATCCCTTTTAGCTACAACTTATAGTCAACCCTACACAAAATTAAAATTTAAACGCAACTTAAGCGTTTTATAGTTATAAATATGGCTGTTCAGATTGTTCAATGTGCTCGTATTTTTTCCTAATTGTAATTTTCATAAAACCCTTCTGCCCATTTTATCTTCTACTCTAATTTTACCCTATCTTAGATGCCTTCTAATGTAAGTTATATATCTTAAAATTACAAATGTGGTTATTCAGAATATTTTACGTACTCGTATTTCTTCTTAAAACTGATTATTGCAATTTTAATCAGACCCTCTACCCATTTTAGCCATCACCTTTAATTTCACCCTATACAGAAAACTTTCTAACGTAAGTTATTTTTTTAAAAAAAAATTGCAAAATGTTTTATGTGCTCTTATTTTTTCCAGAAACTGATTATTTTATTGTTATAAGACTCTCTATTCATTTTAGTTCTTATTTCCATTTAACCCTATTAAAGAAACTTTCAAATTTTAGATATACATTTTTAAATATGTGGTGCAATCATGGGTGTTTTATATGTTAGCATATTTTCCAGAAGATTATTAAAATGATCCTTATAAGCGCTTTGATACATTTTTTTAAAGCCAAGAGAAATAAAAAGGAGAAAAAGTGCATTGATTATTGTTTACTTCTTGATTTTTTAAAAAAATCCTATGAGATCATCGAGTTGGTGTTGCGACCGATTGGCTAAATTACCCTGATTTAAGGACTATTTCTTATTAAACTTCACTTGTAATTTGGATTTAGTCACTGTTTACGAGAAGTAATGATTTTAGATACATTCAAATTGAAAAAAATTAACATCAGGAATTAAATAGTGAATTAATAAAATAGCTTTCTGCATAACAAAAAAGAAAAAGAAGAATCTTAAAAAAAAATCCGAAACTTGAAAGTGGTAAAAAAAAAAAAAAAAAAAGATACTTACTTCGAGTTATATCCACAATATTTCCTTCAGGGAAAGTTGTTTTCCTCTTTCTAAGTTTCAATGGCAGAAAGTTTCTTTTTCTTCCTTTTCTATTTCAAAAAAAGTCACGACGTTTGCAGAGATAACAACTAAATTAATGGAAGTGTTTATTAAAAAAGAATCGCAAACCACAAAATATTTAAAAATAAAATAAAAGTTTTGGAAAATTCACTATTTCGTGAAGTGTACACTTTTCGTTTCCATTCAATTCAAATTCACCTTTCACGATTTCAAACTTAAATTGTAAATAAAGTGCGCTCCATTCAGAAATCTATTATAATATGTATTTTTAGCTTCCTGGTCAAAAATAATCTTAAAATATATACAAATTTAGAAAGCAAAATAATATTTAAGTGCGAGAAAAGAGCACAAAAAATCTGAAACGCTAACAGTAGTTCAGTTGCAGAAAAGATTTGAACGTGAGGCTTCCTGCTTCATCCGGCAAGCAAACAGGTTTTAATGCTTTCATTCCTTTATTCCTCAGTTGTTATTTATTAGATTGGGTTAGCCTTTTTTATTTTCCACTTTATTAGTTAATAATGAGCGTACTTAATGTGTGTACAGTTCAACTTCATTCTTAAGAATAATTTTAAAAATATTCTTTCTTAACTGTCATTAAATAACTTCAGGGGTTTCGATCTAAACATTTCATGCTAATAACAATTAGGTTATGCGTTTTTACTCAACCCCAGAAACTGCGAAAAATAATGAAGTTTTATCAATTTTTTTTACTATTGTTCTTTACATAAATAACGACAATGGGGTGGATATCATGCAATACTAATAACCAGTAATATTCACATTTTATAGGATATTCATAAAATAATTATTGAATTATTTTAGGATTGCATTTTTATCAAACTTAAAAATTTTTTTTAATTACACTAAATCATAATTATTAATAGTTATAGTTGTTTAATTTACGTCGCACTAAAGCTGCACAATGGGCTATTGGCGGCAGCCTGGAAAACATCCGAATCATGACATCACAATTTTGATTCTCAGCGGAGGTTCGGTAGCTCAACGACCTGCGCTCAAAGTCGAGCATTTTAGAATAAAACATTTTAAGGAGGACAGATGCTGCTCACCCTCACTCCCTTTGTAGCCTAATCGAAGTGGTCATCTACCTGTGCACTGACAGTGAACAGTGATGCTTGACTTCAGCGTTCTACCGTGAACCATATCTTACAATCAGCCCGCTGTGTGACTCGCAATTATAAGTAAAAATGTATGAATATATTGAACAGTTGTTTAATATAATATAATGAACGGTTGTTCTTTGTTATTAAAGGATCCTATCGCGTGATTTTTCTAGTCAAATACACTGAGAAAAAAAGAATGATCAAAATTACCAAAATCTAAATCTAAGGTTAAATTAACCATGTTTCTGGCTCAATGGGAACACCGAAAAGCTCGACAGTTTTTACCGAAGAGCTTATGTAATGATTTTGATAAAATTAACAATAAAATATGGTTTTTTAATGCGTGATAAAATTTTGTGCATGAGATAAAATTTGGTAACTTTATCATGATAACTTACTGTATGATATAAATACCATTTATTCGTTTAAAGTTACTAGCAAATTTAAATTTTCTTAAAATAACTGATTAAATTTACTTGCACATTTAAACTTATCCTGCAGATAATTACTCAAACTTTACTTCAGATTTAAATTTTTTACTAAACGCATGGTATTAAGAATAATAATTTTGAAAACCAAATTTTCGGTAAATCGTTATCATATGAACGCAAAATCGTTACCAAATGAATGTACTGAATGGATGGTTTAAATACTGTATATTTTGGTTTTATTAACCGGAGTTAT